AGATACTCTACGTCAAGTGAATAAACACAAAGACAGGTTTTACACCCTTCAGTGAATATAATAATTCCTTGAAAAGTTTTCTCCCATTTATATGCAAGTCTGACGACATTATTACATTGTCAGTTTGGCTGGTATATTCAGTGATTATAAATGCTTCTTCGTAGTATGACATTGATGGATGACAAGTTGCTTTGGAAAAGTACTACTACTGGATGCTTCTTTCGTTATTATAAAATTTGTTATGAATTATGATGATTGGATACTTTATTGTTTGCTTGTTGGGCCTTGCAATAAAATATTTTGGTTAAAATTTAGAAATTTTGTACCTTTGTATTGGTCTTAGAAAGCTTATAAGGGCCTGAAAACTGTTGTTATTAAGGTATGAAACATTCAAGCATCGACAAGACATGATAAAGCGCATTACCAAGAATTGGACCATGTTGATTGACAATGCTAGATAAGGGTGGACTCAGTAAAGACCTAACATCTTGACATTTTTGGTGTTAGATGGCTGCCCACAGATCTGTGTTCCAAGCAATACCCTCGATACACACATACAAATAATTTTTTGTGATAATGTCTGCTATTATTACTATATCCAGTAGATATGTTCAGTTCTGTTACATCAATGCCCCATAGCTCAAGCAGTAATTTTTTCTCTAGTGCTTGCGTATCCTTACTTTTCAATGATATGTATGGTAATTGTGTAAATATTACACTTAAATGCTTGAAAAAGTCTGCAGATCTGGGTATCATGATGCTCTTGGTCTCGCTCCTAGTTAGTCATATAGTTGTCTTAATTTGTGAAGCTTCCTTCATGCAGATTCTAGATGAAATGCCTGTCTTTTACAATCTGAGTGCCGTTGAAAAGCGTGAAGTCTTAGCCGTCATTTTGCAAATAGTACGCAATCTGGATGATGCATCACTTGTCAAGGCGTGGCAGCAAAGCATTGCTCGTACCAGATTATTTTTTAAACTTTTGGAGGAATGCTTAATTCTCTTCGAGGTTGCTGCATATCTATTGTTTTGTTTTCTTTTTTATAAAGAAGTTAATTATGCTAACCTTTAGGTTTCTATATTGGTTTGGCAATTGCATATCTTGGTGGGTAATCTATTAAAATTTCTTTTTGTTCCTACAAAATTTCTCCATATTCTGGTGTTATAGTGAAAAAAAAGGTGAAAAAGTGATTACTGATTTATAGATTATTAGGAGTGAGTGATGTAGTGAAAAAAGATATGGTTGCTTGTAATCTAACTCAACATATAACCGTTGGCAGAGTAGAATGAATTCATGTGGCCAACCCTATATAATTTGGGACAAGGCTTTGTTTGGTTTATATGTTTTCGTTGATATAAAATCAAAAGATATTATAAATAGAAGGGAAAAAGAGGACGAACACTTTTTCAGAAGTACAGACTGGAAAAGAAACAAGTGAAAGAAGTTCCAATATTTCATGCCATTCTCTCACTCTTGGTCACAATTTTTTTTTTTAAAATAAAGGGGTGCCTTCAAAGTCTTCAGATATTTCACGGGGTCCTTTTTTTAATGGCTTCCTATGGTATGCGATGCTATTTTTGCTAATGTTCAACTTCTGTTGCCTCTATAGTAATATTCGCATCTCATATTGTACAGCACACTAAACCTTCTGATAGCATGCTTCTGGGCTGTAGTTCTCGCAGTCCAGTTGGGGACGGACCTGCTTCCCCGAGGTATTCTGATAGGCTTTCTCCTGCAATTAATCATTATCTTTCTGAGGCATCGCGGCAAGAAGTCAGAGTAAGTTTTTCAATTTGATCTTTCTGTATTATGTTTAATGCATCCAGTGCCTATGGTTACCTGTTGTTATTCATTGATGTACATCATTTTCAAAGAAATAATTATTTCAAAGTTCATAGAGCCATCCTGTTGCCAATATTTCCGATGTACTAGATGGAAAATCTTGCCTTTTCATGTGCCCTGAAGATCTTATCTGTATAATGCAGCCTCAGGGAACACCTGAGAATGGGTATTTGTGGCAGAGGGTCAATTCCCAGCTAAGCTCCCCTAGCCAGCCATATTCCTTAAGGGAAGCTCTTGCTCAGGCGCAATCTTCCAGAATTGGAGCTTCAACCCAAGCACTGCGGGAATCTTTGCACCCAATATTGAGGCAGAAGCTGGTATGATACCCTGTGGAATTAGTTTGCTTGATGGGAATGCATATGCTACTATGCTAATCACTTTAAACTCTGTTAAGTATTTCAATTGGTTTATTAAATCAAAGAAAAGACGAGAAAGACTCTTTCTCATTTTTCAGGAGCTTTGGGAAGAAAACCTGAGTGCTGCTGTCAGTCTTCAAGTTTTGGAAATCATAGGGAAATTTTCCCGGACTGCAGCATCCCACAGCATTGCAACTGATTATGGAAAACTTGATTGCATCACTTCTATCTTTATGAGCTTCTTCTCACGAAATCAGCCACTTGCTTTCTGGAAAGCTATGTTCCCGGTGTTCAACAGTGTATTTGAGCTTCATGGAGCAACATTAATGGCAAGGGAGAATGACCGTTTCTTAAAGCAAATTGCTTTCCATCTTCTTCGTCTCGCAGTTTTTAGGAATGACAATATGAGGAAAAGGGCTGTTGTTGGGCTCCAGATACTTGTTCGGGTAAGCTTAATGATATTCTTTAGATTGTTACTATAGTTACCGTTATCTCCTGGCTTCAACTTATTCGTCATTCGCTTCCTGACTTCAGTTGTCTTTTTCCATTTGCAGAGCTCTTTTTCTTACTTTGTGCAGACAGCGAGGTTAAGGGTCATGTTGATTATTACATTGTCAGAGTTGATGTCTGACGTTCAAGTAACACAGATGAAATCTGATGGGACACTTGAAGAAAGTGGAGAAGCACGTCGACTTCGGAAATCTTTGGAGGAAATGGCAGATGAATCCAAGAGTGGCAACTTGTTGAACGAGTGTGGACTTCCAGAGGATGCACTTATTGCCATTCCAGAAACATTGGCGGAGAACCGGTGGTCCTGGTCAGAGGTGAATTTTCTCTCTGTCAGTCTTCTTCTGGCTCTTGATGCTAGCCTGGAACATGCACTTCTGGTAAATTCTGACATCCTTCGTCTCAGCTACAATATCCAACATAAACTTGAATGATATTCAATGGCATTGTGCTTTGGCTACATCTTTACACAGGGATCTGTTATGACCATGGATAGATATGCTGCTGCAGAGAGCTTCTATAAACTTGCGATGGCGTTTGCTCCTGTTCCAGATTTACACATAATGTGGTTATTGCATTTATGCGATGCCCATCAGGAGATGCAGTCTTGGGCTGAAGCTGCCGAGTGCGCTGTTGCTGTTGCTGGTGTAGTGATGCAGGTAACATGCTGCTAATTGTTTCCTGGGTTGATTGTCCATCACCATTCCTGGGCTGTAACTTATATGGATAATGAGAGTATGATACGAGTCTGCAGCCCCCAGATAGCCTGGACTTGCCAACAAACTGTCACTGTGCTGTAATTGGCTTGATTCTTTTTCTTCTTCCGCCTCATAGTTTATTTTCTTTTGTTTCATCATCATATGTAAAATCCAAAAGCCACAGTCAGGAATTCATCTCCTAGTCCTAGTGAACAAGAATATGAAATAATACTGATATATCTCATTGGTTTTGAGTAGGAATCTTATGTTTACAATATTATAAATGGCCATTTTTTTCTTTTTCTTGTCCTTTTTAAGTTCACCTTTGAACATTAAAATCACCAAGGGGTTCCGTCTATGTGCACAGTGTGTATACACTAGCAAAAGGGACAAGCAGGAAGCAAAACAAAGAGAACCTACACTAAAAACAAGGGAAGCATGAAAACCCAAAAACCTCGTATAAAGAACCCCCTCGCTCCCCAGGAATCAATTAAACCATCTCCACAAAGTAGCCTTCCCAAAGAACCAATAAAACAAAAGTCTCAAAAGTTTCTCTTTAGATCCAAGACTGATGTCTCCTTGCCATCAATGTTCCTCCTATTGTCTTGAAACATATGCTTACCATGAGCGGAAAGGTGTAACTACACATACCTCCAATGCACGCCTGTTGCAGCATCATTCTGTCCTCTTAACTGTGCAACATATCCAAAGCTATTTCAGTATCACCCCAACAACACAAAAAAATTTTTGAAAACCAACCCTTATATCTCCCTTTCCACTGAACATCACAGTAGCAAGTGATCAATTGTCTCTGCCGCTTCTTTGCACATTTGAGACCCACTGCCTGAGATTGTTCTAGGGAAATTTGCCTCAACTTACCTACAGGAATTAGATACAGATATATCATAAGAATACAAACATGAAAATACCTAAGAAGTGATTGTTAAGGTTGATATGTGTGAAAACGAATTTATGAGTATAGTACAACAATCATTTATACCATATGAGGTCGTTTGGTTGTAGTATTAAAAAGGTAGATTACAGAAGCATAATATATTAAAACTCTCTAATCCAACCTTTTAATGCATTTTGTTGCAAAAAACACTTCGTATTATATGTAGTTTTATTCCAAATGCTTATCCAAATTATACACTCTATCCGTACCATTAAGCTGATTATAGTACCACGTGGGGAGATGGTATTAGAGTCCAGTTCAAACGTATTAAGTTATAAATTTATTATTTTACTCACCAAATAAACAAAAACATTAATAACTAGACAAGATTGATAGTTTCTTAGTCAATATGTAATTTGTACTATATTATCCCACTCTTAATCCGGTGTTTTACTAAACACTAGATTGCAATGCATAATATTTTTGTCCGGTTTTTAATCTTGTATTTTAGCTGCGGAATTTGCCAGTATTACCTAATACTATCCATTTTTTTACATTACGTTAACCAAATGAGTCCTATATGTACTAAGGTGTACGCCCATCTCTTCCAGAGTCACTTGTCATGTAATGGTGATATATCAGCACTCCCATGCACCATTTTGAGTGGACAATAGGGTGCAGTATGATTCCTGGTTTTGCATACTGATGCTCATATTGTTATGAACCATTTCTTTGTAGGCCCTGGTGAGCAGAAATGATGGAGTCTGGAGCAGTGATCATGTGAGTGTGCTACGCAAAATATGTCCCATGGTCAGCGGTGAAATATCTGGTGAGGCCTCAGCAGCAGAGGTAGAAGGTTACGGTGCTTCAAAACTGACAGTTGACTCAGCTGTGAAATACCTACAGCTTGCAAACAAGCTTTTCTCTCAAGCTGAGCTCTACCATTTCTGTGCAAGCATTCTAGAACTCGTAATTCCTGTTTATAAGAGCAGGAGGGCATACAGTCAGCTAGCGAAATGCCACACGATGCTAACCAATATCTATGAATCAATTCTTGAGCAGGAGTCGAGCCCAATACCATTCTCCGATGCCACATATTATCGGGTGGGATTCTATGGCGAAAAATTTGGTAAGCTCGATAGAAAAGAATATGTATACAGAGAACCTCGTGATGTACGGTTGGGTGATGTGATGGAGAAACTCAGTCATATATACGAGTTGAAGATCAATGGAAATCAGACCTTGCACATAATTCCAGATTCTAGACAAGTTAAAGCAGAAGAGTTGCAGCCTGGGGTTTGCTACCTGCAGATAACTGCTGTTGATCCAGTTATGGAAGATGAAGATCTGGGAAGCAGAAGGGAGAGAATATTTTCTCTTTCTACCGGAAGTGTCCGTGCACGTGTCTTTGATCGCTTCTTGTTTGATACTCCTTTTACGAAAAATGGCAAGACTCAAGGTGGGTTGGAGGACCAATGGAAGCGACGCACTGTTCTTCAGACAGAGGGCTCTTTCCCTGCATTAGTGAACCGGCTCATGGTTATTAACTCAGAATGTCTTGAGTTCTCTCCAGTAGAGAATGCAATTGGAATGATTGAAACTCGGACTGCTGCTCTTCGAAATGAGCTTGAAGAACCACGCAGCTCCGAAGGGGATCAGCTCCCGCGTCTCCAGAGTCTACAGAGAATACTTCAAGGCTCTGTTGCTGTTCAAGTGAGTTGCCTTGTTTTGGACATCTTTCCTGGTTTTGTTTTTCATTGTTTTGTTGTTGATCATAATCGTTCCAGGATGTTGTGTTCTTCTCAGCCTCAAAAAGAGGATTTGTGTGAAAGATGTAGCTGATTCCATTGTTTCCTAGCATATATGCCTTTGTATAGAATTGCTTCTTTTGTATTCTTTTCAATCCTGCTGGATCAATTTCTCAGTTGCACTCAACATCTAATGTTCATACTCCAGGTAAACAGTGGAGTCCTGAGTGTGTGCACAGCTTTCCTCTCAGGTGAGCCTGCAACACGGCTGCGCTCACAGGAGCTTCAGCAACTCATTGCTGCACTCCTTGAATTTATGGCCGTCTGCAAGCGTGCCATCCGAGTTCACTTTAGGTTGATTGGGGAGGAAGACCAGGATTTCCACACACAGCTTGTGAATGGGTTTCAGTCACTCACTGCAGAGTTATCTCACTACATCCCTGCAATTCTCTCCGAGCTTTGACTGTGTCTTACATTGCTCTTTGTTGCAGAGATTTTACTGTATGTGTGTAATTTTAGTTATGCTCAGCTTCTTTGCACTTGTTCATATATTTATCTTGAATTTTTTTCTATGTATTATGTGTTCATCCTAATCTTGCCTGTGCTTGCTTCTCCAAGGGCTTCTGTGGGGGCATTGTCAAGTTGTACATCCAATCTCTGTAGTAAAGATAGTCTTAATAGAGGCTTGTGGCTTGAATTGAGGGCAAGTTGTATTTTGTTCAACCGATGAATAGGATGGCTGGCTCGAAAACATTGTAGTGCCAAATGAACTAAGACTTGTCTTCTCTAATCTGATCATTGAATGAAATCTGCTATTGTTAGTGGGATAATCAAATTTCTTCATGGCAAAGTAGTGCATTTCTGTGTTTTATTATGTTCTTGTGGGGTTCTTATTTCTTGCCCAATTTCTTTATCCTTTTTGTCATTTGCTGTTATGTTTTATTAGTCTGTCAAAGCTGCAGTAGGTTTTTTTTTTTAATGTTTAATACTAGGAAGGAGGACATTGATGATATATTGGTCTTGTGTGCATTTTCGTGTGCACTAGCCATACAAGGTCAATTATTCGTGTTTTTTTTTTGCTGGTTGAAGAAGAGAGATACAAGATAGAGATTGAACTAATAAAATTCTAGGTGCTATAATGTTTCTATTCTACTCCTTGTGAAGGCCTGAGTTGCACAGTCTTTCGTCACTTCTTGTCTGACCAGTTGGGGTAGTTCCTCTGCTTGGAGTACGCCCTCATAGTGCATACTAAGTCCCCATTTAGCCAGTCTGTGTGCAGCTTTGTTGGATTCCCGGTATGAATGAGACATGTCCCAATCCACATGTAGTGAGAGAAGAGTTTTGATATCTGAAATAATTGTAACCATGCTCCATGGGACTCTTTATGTGTGGTAGAGTTGCAGTAAAGACCACTTGCTGTGAGTCTCCTTCCAAAGTGACATAGCTCCATTCTTTTCCATGCGCCCAGAGAGCTGCCATTCTTGCCACAAGTGCTTCAGCATTGGTAGGATCGGTCTCAGAATCTTGCATGACTATAGCTTCTATAACTCTTCCAAATTCATTCCTTGCAATTGCAGCCAGACATGAACCATGTTGTCCAATGGCTGCATCAATGTTGACTTTTAAGCCTCCCTCAGTTGGTCTGGACCAGCAACTATCAAGACATTGGTCTCTATGGCATAATTCCTTATTTCTTGAATGACTGCATCTTGCTTTCTGGGATTCCTCAAAGACCTGCCTTACTTCGTTAACAACATACACATGGTCCAATTTTTTCCCACTGAAGATCAGTTTGTTCCTCCATTTCCAGATAGTAATGAATATTGAGGAGGCAGCCAACAGTAGTTTGCCTTGATTAGGACTACTGGGGCCAAAGATGAGAGTAGGACTAAGTAGGTTGTGGATCCAATCTTGCATGCTGAAGTGGGCGAAAGGTTCTGTCCGAAAGCCCCAATTGATAAACCAGATTAATCGAGCTATATGGCAGAGGAAGAACATGTGGGTCTCTGTCTCATTTTCTTGCTGGCAGAAGGGGCACAAAGGATCAGAAATATGAAACCTTTTTGCAAGAATGTTCCTTGTTAGTAGAATTTCTGTAGTAGCTCTCCACAAAATCATTTTGTGTCTTTCATGCAGTGGAGTGTTCCAAAATTTGGTCCAGTCAACTTGATTAAGGTAGTGAGATTCTTCATCCAGATTCCCCCTTAGAGTAGTATAGGCAGACTTTGTGCTGAAAACTCCGGAAGATAATGGGATCCAAGCCATTTGATATTCTGCTTGGAAATTAGAGAGCTTGATCCTTTTGATTGCTTCAATTGTTTGCTAAAGAGTGTATGGAGAAGTTCTAAATTCCATGTGTGACTTTCTTGATTTATTAATTCCGCAACAGTAGTTGGCGCTACTTCCACCTCATACTCCAACTCTGGCTTATAATTTGGTATATTTGGTACCCAAGGGTCTGTCCAAATATTGATTTCATGCCCTTTCCCCACTATATAGCAAGTACCCTTTTCGATGGTTGGTCTGCATTGAAGGATCTGTTTCCATGTTGGAGAGTCTC